TAGGGAGCCCTGTCCTCTGTAAGTTCTCAAAAAGTGTGTGTGTGTGTGTGTGTGTGTAAACATTTGCAAATCAGAGTAATTTCAAAGGAATGACGAACACCAGCAAGGACAAAGAAGTGACGGAAAAGGTAGGGCCTGATGCAAAGCCAACTGAAGTTAGTGAAAAGACTGAATGACTTCAGTGAGCTTTGGACTTCACTGAAGGGGAAGGTGGATTTGTAAGTACTGAACAACAGTATGGAATCAGCTTGGAAAAATGAAAGCCAGTACACCTGGGGGGAAAAGTATTGCTGCTCAACAATAATGGGATGGAGAGACCTAGGGCAGAGGGTTCCCAGCCACTGGGCCATGGCCCGGTACGGGCCATGTAGGGTTGGCTGCTGGTCATGGCACAAGCCCTCTGGTTGGACCCCTGTCTGTCTGCCCAGGCAAGCAGTTTCCACCGCTGGCAGACATATGCGGGGTTAAAGTGGGGCAACCCCAGAAGGAGGCAGCCAGCTCCCTGCACCCCGTCCCATTCCCATGCAGTATAAAAAAGGTTGGGAACCACTGACCTAGGGGACAGTAAAAGGAGAAAGACCTAAGGGAGTTGAAAAAAAGCAAAGTATGCCTCTGTAATACAAGTCTTGGCATCAGCAGAATCCAGTACAGTTTGGGTCTGTGTACACAGAGGTGTCATGTCAGAGATAATGGAGGTAATTGACCTTTCTCTGTAGTACCCTGGTGCAAACATCTCTGACATACTGTGTGCCCAAAGATATTGACAAATTGGTAAGAGTTCAGAGGCCTAAGTACTAGGGTGACAAGCACCATATAAGCCAGGGATGTCAAACATACAGCCTGCATACCGTATCAAACAGGCCTGCATCTTGCACATAGCGCAAGATGTTAGTCCAGGGCACACGTTGCATGCAGCACTCCCCTGGACCAGCCCTAGGTAGTGGCTACAGGGGTGGGCTGGATCAGGCTGGGCTGAAGCCTGTGCACAAAGCTAATCCAGCTGGGTGCTGCACACAGTGCGCACACCCCTGCTGATCCCCTGTACAGGACACCTGGACAGTCCAGCCCTGCGTGCAACCTGCAGCATGTGCCAGCCACAGGGCTTGCTGTGCATGCAGAACTGACAAGGGCTATGCATTGCTGGTGTCAGACAGGCTGGACCCAGCACTGTATGTGGCACAAGGGGTCTGGGGCTCAGGCTGCTTGCACACCCTGTGCTAGTCCCTCATACCATGTGCACAGCAAGCCCTGGGGCTGGAGAATCCCACATGTGGCATGTAGGCAGGACTCGGCATCATGGGCATTATGCAGGGTATTGGTCCTGGTCCAGCCTGCAGACTGGCCCAGCGACCATCATCCAGCCCATGGGGCCAAAATAATTTGACACCCCTGGTTTAATCACACAAGGTAGAGATAAATTGGCAACGAACGTGTTCTAAAAATAGAAGGACTTGTAAATGAGAACATTGGGAGCTATGTTTTTTTGCATTTGCCTAAGTGGCTACTCAGGCTACACAAAAATTCTCTGCAAGCCAAACCCCTGTGCCCCTAGGTAATGCTATAGGCTTCAGACAGACACAGCACAGACACTGATTTCATTCAAATGGTGCTTCTTGCAAGATAAAGACCTAAATGGGGAATTGCCTGAATGGAGTAAATGAGGAAGGAGAGGACTGATACTGTATAATTGGGAGTATTAGGATGAATTTAAGAATAGGAAAATGTAGGCTGAGCATCAAAAAAAGCTTCCTGGCAATGACATGAAGTAGGCTGTGGAAAAGTGTCACATTGATTGAAACCTTTAAAGTTGGACTAGAAAAGACACTAACTTATACTGCAGGAATGATCCTGCAGCAAAACCCACAATGAGAGGTGGTACTAAATGACACAAGCCTTTTTCATTTCTAATTCTTATTTCTTGAATTGGCGACTTAGCAATGAAGAAGATTCTTTGTACAATTAATCCTGGTTGTTTAAAGGTTTATCAGCAGCAGACTATCCAGTTTTTTGTTTGTTTGGTTGTTTTTTTTCATTCAGTATAGGTTGGCTTTGGTGATGTTTCCTTTTTAAACTTGAAGTAATATTCTGGGCTTTGATCAGGGTGGGTAGGATACATGAAGAGTTCAGATGCAGTCTGATCTGAGCTAACATATTTCAGATAAAAGGAAAGGGAAAGGATTGATGTGACAAATAGGGGGCTCTATCTGAATGTAGGAGTTATAAGCCAATCTGATTAAAGAATACAGTAGCTATCTCCTACTTCAGGGGTCTGCAGCCTTTTTTGGAGCAATGGGTCAAAATAACGGAGGTCTTTCTGAGACAGTCTGGTGCTTTTGACCCAACCACTGCTGCTGCTTGTTGCCAATGCCTGTGCAATGCACTGAAGAATCCCCTCACTGAAATGCCACCAACCTGTCCCATCAGACTTTGTAGTCTGGATGAAGTCAATTGGCAGGTCAGACCTGCTCCATGGGCCATCAGTTACCAACCCATGTTATATAATAGTAATAATATTTTTGAAGGTTACCTTCTAAACCAGACTACTCAAGTCTAAGGCCTGTTTAGACAAGTCCCTTATAATCACTTTAAATTGAAAAAAGATTGAATAATTAAGCTTGAGATGATAGATCTGGGCAACTCAGAGGAAGAATACTTAATATGTTTGGCTGAAACTAGAGACATGATATAATGAAAGCTGGTACTTGGGCTTGATTCGCTTCCAATTTAACTATTCTGAACTGTTTTTGAAAAATGATGTAATGCCTTACCCATCATCTCTATTATAAAGGGTTGTGCTTTAAGGAAAAGACAAAATAAATCTGTTATCTGGGAAAAAGCGAACTTTCCTTCATACTTATCCACCCACACACATACACTCTTCTGCAACAGACAAGGACACTGAAAGGCAGACAGTTTTAGGCCAGGAGAAAGCCCTCGTTCTGATATTTTGTAGGTTCTATTTTTGTACTAGGTACTGTCAGCTTTGGGTTAGAGGTATCTGTTTATCTGGGCACGACAGAGATTTTTGACTTGTACCTCCAAACAGTGCTGCAAGGTGACTGGTACAGGTCAGCAGGGGTACACTGAGAGCCAAATGATGTGAGTGGTACTAGGTATGGTTCATGACTATGGTAAGACAAATGGACCTACCTATCTGCTGGTACACTGGATGGTCTGGCATGTGTGTGTACATTGTATATGCATTTTAATGGTTCCTTGTGCTTGGTGCTGTGATCAGAAACTGTGCCCCTGTTTGCAGCTTGAAAGTTGGCATGACTTTGTGAGAATCCCATTGGAAATTATTGTTGTGGGAAGCTTTCATTTGTGCTTTTACATACAGCTCTGGCTTACCTGGCCCCCACCAGGAGTTAAACTAGCATTGAGCTGTATGCTGGCGTGACACTTGAAGTTGTGGAGATGAGGCTGCTGAAAGGATGGGGTCCAGGTCTTCCCGGTATCCTCTTCTCTCAGAATTCATAGCCTAAGTGGTCCTGCAAACACTGACTCACCTGCTTAACTTGATTGGCCTGCCTCAAAAAAGCCCCTGTGCCTAAGTGCATGCAGCGTAAGGGCTTTGGCAGGATGGGCTGTCATGGGGAGTGAGTGATATTTAATCAGGCCTCCCTCATGGGTGATGCCCAAGTAACAGTCCAGCCTGTACTGGAGGCTGAAGCCATCTGCAAGTAGCTAGAGCAAACTCTTGGCTGATCAGCAAGGATCCAGGTTTTCTGTTTCTTCCAGAAGAACATGGATTTTCTCTGTTAGCAGAGAAAAATGCAGGTTTTCTCTTTTAAAGGAGAAAATCATAGATTTCCTCTTTTGAAAAAGAAACATGCAGGAAAACATGAGTTTCTCCTTGCAGGCTGGCAGTTCCAAGCTGCTTGGGACTGGGAGGAGCAGGACGCAGGGGCTGCCACGAGCATGAGTGACCTAGATAAATTGGAGGATTGGGCCAAAAGAAATCTCATGAGGTTCAACAAGGACAAGTGCAAAATCCTTCACTTAGGACAGAAGAATCCTATGCACTGGTACAGGCTGGGAGCTGACTGGCTGGGCAGCAACTCCGCAGAAAAGGACCTGGGGGCTACAGTGGACAATAAGCTGAACGTGAGCCAACAGTGTGCCCTTGTTGCCAAGAAGGCTAGCAGAATAGTGGGCTGCATTGGTAGGAGTATTGCCAGCAGATTAAGGGAAGTGATTATTCCCCTCTATTCAGCACTGGTGAGGCCACATCTGGGGTAGTGTGTTCAGTTTTGGGCCCCCCACGACAAAAAGGATGTGGACAAGTTGAGGAGAGTCCGGTGTTGGGGGGATGGGGGAGCAGGGCACATGACTTGTGAGGGGAGGCTGAGGGAACTGGGCTTATTTAGCCTGGAGAAGAGAAGACTGAGGGGCAATTTAATAGCAGCCTTCAACTACCTGAAGGGGGGTTTCAAAAGAGGATGGAGCCAAACTGTTTGCAGTGGTGGCAGATGACAGAACACGGAGCAACGGTCTCAAGTTGTAGCAGGGGAAGTTTAGGTTAGATATTAGGAAAACTTTTCTCACTAGGAGGGTAGTAAGCCACTGGAACAGGTTACCCAGAGAGGTGGTAGAATTGCTATCCTTGGAAGCTTTTAAGACACAGCTAAACAAAGCTTTGCCTGGGATGATCTAGTTGGGGATGGACCTGCTTTGAGCAGGGGGTTGGACTAGATGACCTCCTGAGGTCCCTTCTAACCCTAATTTTCTATGATTCTCTGATCGTGTGCACACATACATGCACATGACAGCCGGACAGCGGTGGAAAGCAGCTCCTGCAGCTCCCTCCAAGTATGTCTATGGGGATTTGGGGCAGGGGGCACAAGTGACACGTTGTGGGGGCTACAGGCAACATGACAGAGGGGCATTTGCCTTCCGAGATTTCTGCACCCACAGTAGGGCAGTGGAGCTGGACCAGCTGCAGGTGAGAGTTGCCTCTGGCCCAGCGGGCAGGACCAGGCATGGGAGGTAGCACCACCATGACCGCCAAGGTAAGGCGTGGTGGAGGTGGTGCAATTGTGCCCTTGCTGGGTGGGCAGGGAGCACCTCATCTTGGCAGCCATGTCAATGCAGTGCTCCCTCCCGCACCAGGTCCCGCCTGTTGTGCCACAGAGGCTGGTCCAGCCCAGCTGCAGCTGTGCACCCTGCAGTGGGTGCAGAAATCTCAAGGGGCATGTGCCCCCCTGCCACATCACCTGTGTCCACATCTCCCTTCCTCACACACTGTGGTAGGGGGGCAGCATGTCTTGAGTGAGGGGTACCGGCAGGGCTGGAGGGGGCTGTGGCTTGAAAGTAAAAGGCAATGACAGGGGCAGGGCACCTGCATATCAGGCTGCTCAGTGCCACAAATCAGGTGGGGGTGGGGGTGGGGGGGACAGCTGCAGCTGGACCCACATCTTGGTGAGCAAAGGGGGTAGGGGGATTTCTTCTTTTCCATGATAAAAACACAAAATCAAATGCCAAAATATATGGGTATTTAGAATTTATTTTATTATAACTGAGGCACTGGTAGGCTTCCAAAGTGCTTTAAAATTGTAAATATAGCAACAAAAATTGTGTTCAACTGACACACACCCACCCACCAGCACTGATACCTATATATTACACACATATATAGTTTCTTTTCCAAGCCTGATAAAGGGTGTGTATGCCCAAAAGCTTGCAGAAAACAATATCAGAAAACATAATTTTTTTTTTGCAATTTCTCAGTTGGTCCAATGAAAGGCATAATCTCTGAACCAAGAGTTCTAGATTTTTGCACACATGCGTAGTGGCTTTTTGTTTTAATTGTGAAAAAACAGAGATTTGGGAGGTTTAATCAGAGAACTTGTGATTTGCAAACAGAGAAAACCAGGATCCCTGGGAAGCCATTTGGGGCACAGGCAGCAGTGGAAGCTCATCCATCAAGTGCTTTGTTAAGGCTGGAAGGGACCAGGGCAGGCCCCTGCTATGTGAGGGGAACCGCGCAGCCTGATTCCTAATGGCTCAATAAAAGCTGTCTCCCACTGGAAGCTGTTTTAGGGCTTGTAGGGTGCCCAGGGTCTGTTCCTCCCTGACAGCCGCCTCAGCTCCTGGGGGAGAGCCCAGGCCCGGGGGCGACCCGGCGGGCACAGGTGCGGCGGGGCCGTTGGGAGCCCTCCTCTCCTTTGTCCGCACCGACAGCTGGAGGCGGGGCGGGCCCGGCTCGGCCCATGTGGCTCGCAACCGCTCCGCAAAGCCGGCGCGGGCTGGCCCGGAGCATATGCAGCTGCAGCAGGCACCTGGCAGGCGGCCGCGCGCCGGGGATGTGAGCCGCGCGGGGAGGGCAGGGGAGGGGTGGGGACAGGC